ATATCATAGCCAAGAAAATGATTATGTTCAGTATATGATGAAAGTCCTAAACAATATTTGTCATCACACAAATATCTTAGCCAAGAAAATGATTAAAATCATTTTACAGTCATTTTGCAGAAAAAAAAGAAACATTTTATTTACTCAGAATACTGCATTAATTTATTCATCGATCTTCGAAGTTCAGTGTGTTTCGCTTGGGAAAACGTTATTATTTTGATCGAATTCAAGAAACCCAATTCAATCCGCCAACATTCTTCCAGAACCGCAAGCTCCGCGAGTTGGACTCGCCTTATCCGATCTGCAAGCGCAAAACAACATCAGGTATAAGTTAAATTTTATCTCAATTTCATAAAATTTTAACTTAAAACATCACATATCAATTAATAAATAAATTAAGAACGGAAGATTACTAACACATGATTAGTTCAAATTTTTTAACTGAAATAAGAAATTAACAATAACAATAATGAATAAATAGTAATAATAATTGATAATAATAAATAACAATAATAATGTAATAGCAAATAATAATAATAATGATAATAATAAATAACAATAATAATGATAGTAGTAAATAATAATAATACTGATAATAACAATAATAATAATAATAATAATAATAATAATAATAATAATAATAATAATTAATAATAATAAATAATAAATTAAATTAACCAAAATACATCATATGGGATAGAATCCTTTCCCATTTTCCGTCTTATCTTAGGTAAGTAACGATACATTATGTGATAAAGTAATTATTTATGTTATCATAGTGCATCAAATATTGCTTAATAATTTTTATGAAAAACGAAAATGAAAATATTAGTTCTTTTCTGCACTTTTTTCATAACTTAATCAATTTCTTGGTTAAAATTTAAACAACACAAAAAATGCTACTAATTCTTTATTTCGAATTTAATTCAAATCTATTTGCATTCAAATGCAAGCATACAATGATGTCAGATAATTGAAGAAATTAATTTTAGATTCCCTTTGACCTTTCCTTTGAATTTCTCTTCTATCATACTTTAAACTCACATAGTTACTGTACCTATTGCTTCAAAATTTAAGCTATATGAAAATTTATGAAAGCATTGAAAGTGATATACACATGTTGTTAACATGTATGTGTGTGTATGTGTACGTGTATGTGTGTGTGTGTCTGTGTATGTGTACGTACGGACATACCTTCCATTTGTCTGCCCTAATTTTTACCAACTCATTGAGGCATCAATCTTCCCACGTAACAGGTCAAAATTGTGCAAATTAGGACCCATCTAAATAAATGATCTTCAAATGTCGCTCCTTTTCATCTGCAACGTAAATGTCATCGAGAAATGAGAAATTCTCTGAAATTTACTTCTTCCTTACATTGTCCTTCCTTACATACACACATACATACATACACACATACATACACACATACATACATACATTCATCTCTTCACACATACATACATACACACATACATTCCTTCGTGCTACAATTGTAACATTTTAGCAGTAAAATGATTTACAACAATAGTGGCATTATTATTATTATTAGCAATTTATTGCATTACCTAAGCTTATATGATAACACAACTGATAATAATAATAATAATAACAGTAATAAGAAGAAATGCTTCAAACATTCTTATTATCAATTTGCATAAAATTGTATTATCATTGAACATTAAAAATTAAATCTGAATCTGAAATAAATTAAAAGTAAAAAAAATTTTTTAATTAAAAGATTTGAGCTTAATACAATTGAATAGCAATAATAAAAGGCGATACTAATCATTTGGTATATTTAGCATCTAATAATAATACGATGAATTGCTTCATTAATCCATCAATTAATATGAATTCCGGTTTGTAATTCCGGTTTAATGATAGGTAATTACTAGCAACAAACATCAAAAAAAAAAAAAAGAATTACTTCAGGTTTAGATGATATACACAGCATATTTTGATATTATTTGAATATATCAGGAATACAGGTATGCTGGACACTAGTCAAAATAGTAAAAATAGCCAAAATAAAATTTAAAATAAAAAAAAAGTTATATTTTTTTGGTAAAAAATTAATTTTGAATTAAGAATTTAGAGCAGAAATATATATTTAATCTAATTTAGTCGGTGTTAAATTAATTAATGAAATTGATGTACATAAATGATGCATATGTGAATAAATAAACAAATAAATAATTATTTTTTTTTAATACTTTTAATAAATAAACAAATGAATGAATAAAGGAAAATAAAGTACTTTTTATTTATATTATGTTTTTTCCAGCAATTTTTTCCAGCCTTTTCTGAATTAATGTGTCGGAAACACTTCAATTATAGAATAACTTCTTGATCTACACATCAAAGATAATTTTGAAATTAAATTTTATGCAACAATGCATCATTGAACTCAGACATTTTTTTTTTCTTCTAAACAATTTTTATTAATTATATGTGAATATTAATTTCTTTTTTTTTTTTTGCATGAAATAAGCTTTTATTGTCATTTTAAATATCATTTCTCTATTTTATGACTGTTTTTTTTTTTATTCTCAAATTAATTACCGTACAAAAATATTACGACAAAGAATTCTCTCTCTCTCTCTCTCCCTCCCCCTCGCCCTCTACTCCTGTTTCTGTTCTTTCCGAGATATATAATTTCATGAAGATTACATAATTGTGATGACAAAATTTGAAAATATGAGATGAAGACTTAGCAAATTATCTATATTTAATTATTTATTTAGCTATTATTTATAATATAATATTATAATACGACATGCGACATTTAATATGCGACAATGAATATTATAAAACATAAATATATACTAACGAGTAATGCAGTAATGCATATAACAATTGAAAGTTTTATATAAGTATTACTTAATTTTATCACATGCATTTTATGATAACATCAAATCAATGTATTTTGGTGTCACAAATGAGTTAAATTTTACATTTAAGTTTATTCAAACATGTCGCAAAGATGAAAGACATAGATAATTAATTGTAGAATAATAAATGTCGCTAAGACAAAAGAACATGCATAATTAATTGTGAAATAATAAATGCGGCAATTGACATAAAATGGCTAAATGTATTGATGGATTGATGAGTGACCTCTGAAGTTCATTTTGTTTCATTTAAATTACATTCAAAAGCGGTACTGTTTTGATGATTGAAATGTGAATGCCTAACTGAGTGATTTTAATGCCTTTTTTCTTTTTTTTTTTTCATTGAAATTTATTATAGCGTAAGCAGTTACGGGATAGGCGGTGGTCCAGGTGGAAGTGGTAGTTGGTCAACTCGAGGTGTTGGTGGTATCAGCGGTGATTCCTATCAACAAGGCAACGGAATTTTTGGCTCCCATCGTCAACAGGTTTTATTGTATACTTTTTTTTTTTCCAAAATTTTAAACCTAAAAAATTTGAATTTTACCGCATCGAATATGTATAAATGATTGCAGGAAAGATACGATTCGTATCCATCAGGTGGTGGACTTTTCGGCGGTGCAAGTTGCAGTTGTTCATCAGGATACGGTGGGCTGTTTGGAAAGAAATGATTTACAGGTTTTTTTTAACTTTTCATTTAATCAGTGAAATTTATATTAAATTTCTAATATAGCTTCTATTTTTGCAATTACTTCTTAATAACAATTATGATGTTATCAGTAATTTGTAATTAATTTTATTTTCCACTTGATTTGCTTGTGAAAAAAAAAAAAGATAATTCATTTATTGACCAATAAATTAAAATTAGTTGGTATTTAGTTTTTAAATTAAAACTAATCAAATCCAAAGAATCAGTTACAATCAACTAAACTGTTAGAATTAAATATCGTCCAAAAAGCAGTAGAACACGTTTTGATGGCGTAATATTATGATGATGACCAGTTGAAAAGGAAAACCGGTTTTGCGCATTTCAACATTTCCATTGTTCAAGCTTTCCTTGTAGAAAAGCGCACTTTTACAAACATTCATCCGTTCATCTCATACACGGGCGCAAATAAGCCATTAAAAACACGCTTTATATATATGTATATATACATATAATGTAAATAAATTTTTTAAGTAAAAAAAAATTTTTAATGGTTGAATGAATAATTGAATGTGTGACATTGCCGCTAATAAATTGGATATGCAAAAAAAGCACAATGACATAATCAAAATTTTGTCACTTCGTTTTTTTTTTTTGATGACAATAATATTAGTGAAAAAGTTAAAAAAGCGTAATGTAAAAAAAGGAATGAAAATGTTTCAAAAATAAAATAATAGAGAGATAAAATGATAGATAAGTAAGTTTTACGATTTATTTTTAAGTAATTTAAATTAAATGAGCAGAAAAGTAAGTAACTTTTGGGATATCTGACGACAATGCATTGGAAAATATGAAAGAAAAGAAAAGATGGAAAAATTAAATTATTTTATTATTTTAATTAACTTTTATGATTTTTTCTTTTTTTTTGCTTGATTTTATTTTTTTTTTTTTTTTTTTTTTGTACTTTTAGCTTACTTTTTTTGTTTCAGTGATTTTTTTTTTGTCATTCATCCTTTAAACATTATTACTTATGCAAATTAAATGCTTAATTTTTATAATTTTTTAAAATGAACTTATCACTATTATTATCATAGGCGCAAGTTTAAAAAAATCAAAAATAAATAAAATTGCTTTTTGTAAAGAAAATTACACCAAAAATGTTATTTAAAACCTTAAATAGTGGTAATTTTTTTTTTTTTAAAGCAATAATTAATATTTTTAGTTGATAAAATTTAAAATAAATAAACAGGTTTTTTTCTTTTCCCTTATCCATTTAATGATTTCAAAGTATCTTTCAATTTATCAATTTTATTTCTGAACTTATCAATTCGTCTATTATTTTGATTAATTGAAGAGCTATTTAGTTACGCTAATTAAATTTTATATAGGAAGGAAATTTTTAATTAAATTCAATATTTTCTTAATGACAAATAATTCAAATAATTTTTGCCAGAACATTATTTATGATGGCAGCTTCGACAGTTGTATCAGCAAAAGATCGCTTACTTTTATGTGAAATTCTTCCAAAGTTGCTATGCTGCAGTGAATACGTTTTGAATAAATGTTTTATCGATTGGTTAAATTATATAATTGCTAATTGTCCATATAAAATGCAAAATTATGATGAATTTATCACATTGGTCATTGGATTTTATCAAAAAACAGAATTGCAATTCTACAATGAACAAGTTAGAATGCTTACATTTTTTTCTATTTGATTACTCAAAAATTTAGGATTAAAAGTTTTAATTGCTAAATTAAAATTTTATAATCAATATTTTTTAATAATCATAATTTCATAATTATATCAGTTAATATGCAATGAACTGATTTTTTTTTTTTTTGGTTCAATAAATTTTCTAAATAGTTTAATGGATTAAACAAGGTTTACTAATTTAGATCACTTCCATTTCAATAGCACTTCCAATCATATTATCTATGCCCACTATTCGATCGATCAAAAAATCAATAATGTTTATTAAACCAAATTCATTATCTCAAAAATTATTTGAACTTCCAAAAGGTGGTTAAATTTTTTTTTTTTTTTATACTATCTTGACATTAATATTCACTTTACTTTCATGAATTAAAAATCGATATGTCATCAAATAAAAGTTTAATAAGGATTAATAAAGATTATTGGCATAATTTCACTTTCTAATAAAATGATTTTCTTCTCTCATGTAATATTTTACAAATTTATCCTTACTCTTAAATCAAATTGGAAATCAATTTTTTCTAGCATCAACTTATCAAACTTACGATGACTATATTCATTTAAATCAACAATGTTCGATCACCAAACTATCGCAATCTAATTTGCCATCCCATTGTGGTATCGAAAATTCTCGATCACCTCACTCATCATGTTTATCAAGAAAGCTAATTGACAAATTACTCTTAATTTGTTGTCAGCAACACGTAAGCTTCGTTCTGAAAAAAAAGTTTTTTTTTTTTCTAAAAAAAAATTTAGTTCTGAAAATTGAATTTTAGTAAATTTATATTCAGGTGTTTATTTTAACTGATAATTTTATGTCAACCTAACATGGCTAATAGTTAAAATTTAATTTTTTATCAAAAATTTTTTCTGAAATTTCAGATGCTTTTATTATAGGTACCATCAAATCGTTACAATTTATGTACATACGAGCATCGCAAATATTTCGCAGTGGAAACGCTAATATGGTCGATCCAACAAAATGCTTACGATCTTATGCATTTCAGCAATATACTGCACTGCGGGAATCGAGATCGAGATTGTCACCGTTTTCATGTGATGGTATCACCACCAAAAGCAGAAGTTGATAATAGGTAGGTAAGCTTATTTTATCAAATCTTAATTAAAATTCAAATATTACTAACAAATTAAAAACATTTTTTGGAGTATTTATACCTAATTATGATTTTGCTTCTTATATTTTTATAAATTTATTCAACTTAAACAATAAATTAATTTTGAAATATTCTCCAAATAATTCAATTATTACAGCTAATCAGTGATATTAATTATCATAATGATTTTTCATAGGTGCTTCTTCCATACGTGCAGTATATCTCAATCAAGTGATGAGATTGAAATTATTGAAAAAACGATTTGGTCTATCTTAGCAACTGGAATGTTTTCATGTATTTTGCATGCGATAACATATAAATACACATACGATCAATTAATAAAAATAAAAATTAAAAAATAGGAATGAAAAAAAAAATATATATATACTATGTCTTTCGAAATTATTTCAAACTTTTTCAATAATTCTTTTTAAGAAATAAATATGACTTTGCACAAAAAAAAAAAGAAAAGAAACTAATTTATTAGTATCACTTCAAATAATTTTAATTATTCATATTTTAAGAGTTTCTTTTTATTTTAAAAAAAAAAAAAAAAATTTATAGCATTGAATCATATGTATGATAAATAATACTAACATTAAGTCATATTTGCCATGGCCAGGTTATTTTGTTTTCTGATGATTGCAAAAGTTTTTGGATTTTAATCATTTCAATAAAATTTCCACAGGAAACAAAATATTACATTAAGTAGTTGTTTGTTCTTTCATTTTCACCTTTTTTTTTTCTTTGCTGAATCAAATGGTTATTTATTATTGTTCTCTTGTTGTTTCACGAAAATCTTTGCATTCGAAAAAAATTATTTTTCTGCTGCTACATGAAATTTTTTCAATTTAAATTTCAATCAATTAGTTTAAATTAACTAAGTTTAAATTTTTCATTGACAGAAAAAAAAACATAGATGAGAAATAAACAAACGAAAATTTGATAATTTTTAATTAGAAGTAACAGTAGAAAAATAAATGAAATTCAAATTTTTTGAATTTTTTTTTTTTTTGTTTGCAGTGTATCTACCAGATATAAACTTTCGACCAATTTTCTTTTGCGATCCTTACATAAGTTCGTTTTGTTTGTTTCTTTTTTTTTAAATGTTAGTATTAAAATGCCTGCCATGGCCCTAAACTATTTTTTGAATTCCAATGATCTTGTTTATCTGCCGTTGAAACTGTTAGTTTTAAAAATTTTTATATTTTCTTCCTCATCTTGCATCCCTTTCTAAATCAAATTCATAATGCCATCTATCCTTTTATAAAATTGAAAAATAATCAACAAAAATAGAAATGAAAATTGAAAATCACATTGAGCTATAGATTAAAAGCAAATTAAATAAATTAGATTTAAATTTTTGACTATTTCCAAAGTTGGATAGGCAAATATATGAAGCTAAACCAAAATAAGCAAACCTATTTTCTGCAAAAATTTCAGAATTTTCAGTAAAAGCCCAATTTCTTTTCAATCTTTTCTTTTTCAATTTCTTTCATTTAAAACATTTAGCTACTTTGTTTTATTTCTTCTACTTTTTTTTTTTTTTTTTAAACCAAAGTGTATATTAAATTCATGGCTGGAGATCAAATTTCATGGGAAAAAAATTTTGTTTTTTAGAATTCAATTTGATAATGTTAATAATTATTTCCTGATCGATCCCTTCCTGATATTCTAAGAACAAAAACTATTAATATTGGAACTAGCAGCTCAACTGCTTATCATTTGCATTTGGTATTGGCATTTTTAATTGATACCTTCAACGTTTGATCATTTCTTCTATCTGTTTCACAAATATATATTGCTCGAGTCGATCAGTATCAGAATTAATCAATAACTCATTCCGGTGTACTCGGAAATTTGGAATTAATCCTGCTTCCAATTAGTGGCTTCTTTCGTCGTTAAAAAAAAAAAAATTAATTTTATCGTTATACTTTGAAATTTTCAATTTCGAAGAAAAATTTGTAAACAACAAAAGTTCAGGAATTTTCTCAAATTTTGATGTATCACTTATTATAAGCTTCAGATGATTTTAAATTTTCCATTTTTTTTTCTTTCCTCCATCAAACTATTCTATTGTATATAATGGAATCAGTACAGTCGAAAATTTTTACACTGTTCTTTATAATAATAATAATAAAAAATCTTTTTTTCTTTTTCTCAAGCAATTTTTATTATTTGTTATTACTTTAGAAAAAAAAAATGAAGAAACTGCCAGAATTTAATATTAATATGAAATATTAGTAGAAAATGTGCTAAAATCTGATTTGAAAAGTATAAAAGTGAAAGATTGAAGCGTTGTATATCAAATTAAAAGTTAAAAGTGGGAAAAGCAGAAAGGAAAAAGATGAGAAAAAAGGAGAAAAACAAATGAATATAATGAATGATTGGATAAAAGAAGAAAATTTAGTCTTCAATCTTAATTCTTGGTATTGAAGCTAAAATTGAAGAAAATGAGAGTACGCTTCCCATTGAGAAAGAGATTCTAGCGTGAAATTTCACGTGGAAATTTTTTTTTTTTGATACTAAACGTAGATGTTAGTGTAAATCCTCGCATAATCTCAAAGCGAACAATTAAATTTCTGTAACAATTATGTAATCTAGAAAATGATAAGAAATAAGTGGAGAATGGCAAAATTTGAAAAATTCTACAAAAATTAAAAAATTTTACATCAAAATCAGAACTTTATTCCAAAAAATTTCAATTCGAATATAAAAATTGATTTCTATTGAATGATTAGAAATGAACTTTTAATGCAGTGTTTCCTGTGGTGAACTCATTCATTCTTTTTATCCATAACTGTAAGGAAAAAAGAGAAAAAGGATCGACAAGAAGAAAACAAAGATTCCTAAAGGAGAAAAAAAAATTATTTTGGGTATTATTTCATTGACAATAATATCAATTGGGATTGAACCGTAAGTTCAACAAAGCAGTTAATAACAAGAATGTCAACAAAGGTAACCGGTAATAATAAGAACGTCAGCAAAAGTAATCGATAATAACAAGAACGTCAACAAAGGTAATCGATAATAACAAGAATGTCAACAAAGGAATCGATAATAACAAAAATGTTAATAAAAGTGGTCGATAATGACAAGAACGTCAACAAAAGTAGTCGATAATAACAAGAATGTCAACAAAGGTAATCGATAATGACAAGAACGTCAACAAAAGTAGTCGATAATAACAAAAATGTCAATAAAAGTAATCGATAATAACAAGAATGTTAATAAAAGTAGTCGATAATGACAAGAACGTCAATAAAAGTAATCGATAATAACAAGAATGTCAACAAAGGAATCGATAATAACAAGAATGTTAATAAAAGTAGTCGATAATGACAAGAACGTCAATAAAAGTAATCGATAATAACAAGAATGTCAACAAAGGAATCGATAATAACAAGAATGTTAATAAAAGTAGTCGATAATGACAAGAACGTTAATAAAAGTAGTCGATAATAACAAGAATGTCAACAAAGGTAATCGATAATAACAAGAACGTTAATAAAAGTAGTCGATAATAACAAGAATGCCAACAAAGGTAATCGATAATGACATGAATGTCAACGAAGGAATCGATAATAACAAGAACGTTAATAAAAGTAGTCGATAATAACAAGAATGTCAACAAAGGTAATCGATAATGACATGAATGTCAACGAAGGAATCGATAATAACAAGAACGTTAATAAAAGTAGTCGATAATAACAAGAATGTCAACAAAGGTAATCGATAATAACAAGAATGTCAACAAAGGAATCGATAATAACAAGAATGTTAATAAAAGTAGTCGATAATAACAAGAAAGTTAATAAAAGTAGTCGATAATAACAAGAATGTCAACAAAGGTAATCGATAATAATAAGAACGTCAACAAAAGTAGTCGATAATAACAAGAATGTCAATAAAAGTAATCGATAATAACAAGGATGTCAACAAAGGTAATCGATAATGACAAGGATGTCAACAAAAGTAATCGATAATAACAAGAATGTCAACAAAGGTAATCGATAATAATAAGAACGTCAACAAAAGTAGTCGATAATAACAAGAATGTCAATAAAAGTAATCGATAATAACAAGAATGTCAACAAAGGTAATCGATAATGACAAGGATGTCAACAAAGGTAATCGATAATAACAGGAATGTCAATAAAAGTAATCGATAATAACAAGAATGTCAACAAAGGTAATCGATAATAATAAGAATGTCAACAAAGGTAATCGATAATAACAAGAATGTCAACAAAGGTAATCGATAATGACAAGGATGTCAACAAAGGTAATCGATAATAACAGGAATGTCAATAAAAGTAATCGATAATAACAAGAATGTCAACAAAGGTAATCGATAATAATAAGAATGTCAACAAAGGTAATCGATAATAACAAGAACGTCAACAAAAGTAGTCGATAATAACAAGAACGTCAACAAAGGTAATCGATAATGACAAGGATGTCAACAAAGGTAATCGATAATAACAAGAATGTCAATAAAAGTAATCGATAATAACAAGGATGTCAACAAAGGTAATCGATAATAATAAGAATGTCAACAAAGGTAATCGATAATAACGGCAATGTCAATAAAAGTAGTCAATTAATGTTTCAGTGCAGAAGCTAGAAGTAAATAATCAATTTAACGATTACTTCCAGTGTTTGCTTATGTTAGTTATATTCATTCTTCTATATTGAACTTTGGTCTTTCTTTAATATTATTTGACTTTATTTTAATAAATTCTTGAACGCAAAAAAAAAAGAATTTTCTTTTCAAAAATTGAATATTTGATCAAAAATATGGAAATTAAAATTTAACAATTTAAAGAAGGTCCCAAAACGAAGGCTAGCCGTTGGTGAAAAAAAAAAAAAAGAGAAAAGAAAGAAGTGCATACTTCAAATAATTTAGAAAAACAAATTGCTGTCATCGAATGCGAAGACGAAGAAGAATATGGTGTGTCCTATTCATTTCTTTCTTTATCA